CCAAGATGTGCTACACTGAACCCAACTTCTGCATGTTTAAGACAAGGTATGCAAAATTAAATGAATCTATACTCCAGTTTTGTGAATAATTCAGATACACAATATAATGCAATAAAAGATGGCTGTGCTACCTGATCAGGTGCCTGATTGGGTACCAGTGGACAAGTTTGTCAAGCAGGAGTCCAAAAATCTCGCTTTAGTCAATACATGATTAACTTGCTTCCCTTCAGTACTTGCCTGTTCTTTATTTCTTGCCTCTTCTTAACTCTTCCCTTAAATGTCAGCATTCCCTAAGGTTCTGTCCTTTGCCTTCTTCTAATTTTTTTTCTTTGGGAAACTCTTCTACTTCCATGGCTTAAGCCACCACTTTCAGGCAGATGGCTCTGAAAACTTTTTCTTCTGCTCTCTAGGGAGTTCTCAACAAAGAACAATCCTGCATTTGCAGCTGTGTGCAGGACAGTGTCACAGTCCAAGCCACTGGCACTGCCCAGCTCATGCCACCATAATCTTTCATCTTGATTATTGCAAAAACCTTCTGACTGGTTTCCCTGTCTCCAGCCTTGCTCCCACCCAAATCAATTTTGCCTCCACACCATAGCAAACATGATCTTTCTAAACTGCTTGTTATCATGCTAACCCTCTTCTTAAAATTCTTCCCTAGCTCACTCTTGTTCCTTAATTAAAACCAAAGCTCTTAACAGAAACTGACACTCTCTGCATAGCCTGGCCTGTTTTTCCCTCTAGACTTGCCAACAACCGCTTCCCATCTTACATATATAGCGCACTTCCTGCTCTATAACCCATGTTGTCTCCTGACTCTAAGCTACCACACATGTTCTTCTGAACATGCTCTTTTCCTGTCCTGACTTTCATTCATCCCTCAGGCCCCAGCTCCTTAGGAGCTTTCCTAGATTTCCAAGTCTGAGTCAGGTGCTCTTACTGAGAGGTGACAACACGCTGGCGGCCCTCACTCTCTCTCAGCGCCTCCTCGGCCTCAGTGCCCACTCTGGCCATCATTGAGGAGCCTTTCAGCTGGCTGCTGCACTGTGGGAGCCCCTCTCTGGGCTGGCCCAGGCCTGAGACGGCTCCCTCTGCTTGCAGGTAGCTGTGGAGAGAGAGGCGCGGGTGGGAACGGGGCTATGCGCTGCACTGGCAGGCCAGAGTGAGTTCTGGGTGGGCGTGGTTTCAGCGTGCCCCGCACTCAGAGCAGCCGGCCGCCGCCGCTGGCCCCAGGCAGTGAGGGGCTTAGCACCCAGGCCAGCAGCTGCGGAGGGTGCCCTGGGTCCCCCGGCAGTGCCGGCTCCCAGCAGGGCAGAGCTCACGACCTGCAGGTCACCATGCCCGAGTCTCCCCACTCCGTGGGCTCCTGCCCAGTCAGAGCCTGCTGAAGGAGACCCGCCCCCTGCTCCAGGGTGCCAGGTCCCATGAACCGCCCAAGGGCTGAGGAGTGTGGGTGCACAGCACGGGACTGGCAGGCAGGTCTGCCTGCAACACTGGTGCAGGACCCACTAGGTGAAGCCAGCTGGGCTCCTGGGTCTAGTGGGGACTTGGAGAACCTTTATATCTAGCGAAGGGATTGTAAATACACCAATCAGCACTCTGTGTCTAGCTCAAGGTTTGTAAACACACCAATCAGTGCTCTGTGTCTAGTTAATCTGGGGAAGACTTGGAGAACTTTTATGTTAGCTAGAGGATTGTAAATGCACCAATCAGCACTCTGTCTAGCTCAAGGTTTGTAAAGGCACCAATCAGTGCTCTGTGTCTAGTTAATCTGGTAAGGACTTGGAGGAATTTTATATCTAGCTAGAGGATTGTAAATGCACCAATCAGCACTCTGTGTCTAGCTCAGGGATTGTAAATGCACCAATCGGCACCCTGTCAAAACGGACCCATCAGCTCTCTGTAAAATGGACCAATCAGCTCTCTGTAAAGTGGACCAATCATCAGGATGCAGGTGGGGCCAGATAAGGGAATAAAAGCAGGCTGGGGTGTCTTTCCACACTGTGGAAGCTTTGTACTTTTGCTCCTTACAGTAAATCTTGCCGCTGCTCGCTCTTTGGGTCCACACCATCTTTATGAGTGTACCACCCACCGCGAAGGTCTGCAGCTTTACTCCTGAAGCCAGTGAGACCATGAACCTACCAGGAAGAATGAACAACTCCAGACGTGCAGTCCTATTAGCTGTAACACTCACCGCCAAGGTCTGAAGCTTCACTCCTGAAGTCAGCAAGACCACAAACCCTCCAGAAGGAAGAAACTATGGACACAACTGAACATCTGAAGGAACCAATTCTGGACACACCATCCTTAAGAACTGTAACATTCACCGTGAGGGTCCATGGCTTCATTCTTGAAGTCAGTGAGACCAAGAACCCACCAATTCCAGACACATTACTATGTGCTCTCTCACAGCACCCTCTACCCTTGTTATCACAGCCCCGTTTTACTCTCACCTTTAGCTTACTCACATTCTCCACTTGGCTGTGAAATATAGCATGGAATGTAAATACTACTATAGAATGAGAAGATTGAACATGAATAGGCACTCAGTAGCTGTTAGTGTCTTGTAAGGGTCTTAACAAGTGATTAAACTTTAGTATGAGGTATGAGAAATCCACAGAAGGAATAGCATTAGCAAAGATGTGTCTAGAGATTGGAAAATGCAAGGCAAATGTAGTAATTAAATCATGCAGATTGAAATATACACTCAGATAGGAAAATAATGGGAGCCAAGGCTTGAACAGCTAAGCCTTGAATGCCAGATTGAGACATTTGGTATTTTTTCCCAACATTTGCTGGACAGTAGATTTACCTGGGAAACTCTTATCAAAACACCAATACCTGGGCTCCACCTTCAGAGATACTGAATTATCCAAGAAAAAGACTCAGACAAAAGCATTTAAAAAAAGCTTTCTAGGCTGGAATTAAGAATCATGACTCTAGGAGGCAATGGAAATTTTGGAAGTTTCTGAGTATAATCTAGTATATATTAAATTTGTAATAAAAATGTGTCAAATGAATGTTGATGTTGCATATACCAGATATCTTTGTTACTGGTTTTCAGAAATTTTTCATGTTTTATAAAAATATATTTGTTCATTAAAAAAACACCACAATGACTTTATTCCTTTTTGTTACAGGTAATGTGTAAGAGCCCGCAAAAGTCACTTAATTTTCTCATGCTTTAAATTTTATTTTTCCTTTCCTTGTGTGTAAACACAAGTGTTTTAAGCATATTTTGAACTGTTTTTTTCCAGAATGTGCATCTTTATTTTTCCTGAATATTTCTAAATACCTTAGGTAAAATTTACTGCTTCTACGGATGGCCTAAAAGTTCTGGCAATGAAAGAAGTAAAGTGTGAATGTATTCTTAATACAAGCTATTTAGATGTCTTCATCAATTATTATGTGAAGTCTCTCCAGTTCTATCCTAAACTGTAGAAACTCTTCCAGTTAAACAACAGGGCATGATAAGAGTTTCATAATATGCTGCCTGTAAGAAGTAATTTCATTGTACCAAACTCATTTTCACTTTTAATAATCTTGATTTGATCCTATATCACTAATAGAGGCTTTAAAGATCAATTTATATATTTACTAGACACTATGAGGTTCATGATGTTCTTACTTTTTACAAATAATAAATATGTATATACTTTTTTACAAATAATAAGTGCATACATAAACATTTTTCCTGCTGTTATGTGTACGTACACATTTTAAAAAATAATAAATTACTTTTTACACATTTATTGTTTGAAAAAAATGTGGTAAAGTCAGAATTCCTCACTGTTAACAATTATCTCTAAGAAGGTCTAAAGTTTTTATTCTAGGACTTGAAGGGGAAGTTAGCCGTATTTATATACTACTTTTCTCAAACTTAGCTCTCAACTCAATATACTGTATTTGACAGGCAGACACAGGTATTATATCATGATAAAACAATAGTGGTGCAATTGCTTCTTAGATTGAAAGAGATGCAGTCATTGCACTATTGCAAGAGTAAAGGAAAAAAAATGAATTATCATTATCCAATGAATTAATAGAGTTCTAATCCCACTTGAAGAAGAATTTTGTTTTTCTCAGGAATTCCAGTATTTATGCTTCTGTGAAGCGTTTTCTAATATTGACTCTTTAGTTAGGGGCCAGGAAATATTTTTTTCCAAGTGAGAAGGAAATTGGTTATAAGCAAATTAATTTGGGGAAATGGTAAGATTTAAAACTCCCATGTTTTCATCAGATACCACATTTTTCTGGAGTTCTAGCTATCCTTTGTTCTTGTATTTCCAAAACATCTAGTAAATTTAAAAAATGCAATGGGAGACTTTAAGCCCACAGCCCAGCCCTTGATAAATAATCAAAAGACAATCGAGTATTTATGCTTGCCCTGCAACAGAAAGGTTAAAGTTCATTGAAAAATCCTCTTAATTTAAGAACTGTAGTTGTTCCATACAATCATAAATAAAAGAAGTAATTATAAACTTTGGGGGGAAAAGGACTAAAAATATTTTTGAGAAAAATATGGCTTTCTAATCTAATTGAAAGTAAGGGAAATTTTTTGTGCCTTGTAGTGTATGATTATATATAGTTGTGTGTAACTGGTGAATGATGTCTAAAGAGGTTGCTCAAGGTTACAGGAAAAACCCTAAGGAATTCTTGCAGCAACATCCTGAAATAAGAGCTCCTGCATAATAGATTCACTGTGGTTTCCTTAGTGAAGCGAGCCTTCTATGAACACACAATCTTTAACTATACAGGATCAGGAGGAGAATTGAGTCATGCATTGGAATGCTTTTAGCTTTGGTTTACCCCTCTGTTTAAAGAAAAGAGTTATGAGATTTGCTTAATTTGATCATTTTCCTCTTTCCTTTGGTAATCTCCCTCCTGTATTATAAGATATATAATGCTTCCTTCACACTTCAAATGAAAGTTGAAATGAATTTTTCATGCGTACTATGTTGTAGATGCAAGGTCTAAAATTTACTTCAGGGATCTGAATGTGTAGCATATACAACTGAGTGTTGAAAGAAGACAAAATCTTTTTCATCACAAAGAATATGTGCTCATTAAGAATCAGAATGTTCAATTGTGTGAAGATGGGAGATGGGGAGATTGGCCTTGGATCCAGAAATCAGGTATTTACCCAAAATTTTCTCTGTAGTTTTCACCTATCATCAATTCATTTAACCTGTTTACCATAATTTTTTAAGTTTAATTAAGAGTCAGTCGTCTTTTCATGTTGCTGGATAACAGCCTTGACATTTTAAAGGGAGACATTTTTCTCATACTAGGTTCTAGTTATTGTGTATGACAGTGGAACTCCTAGTGGGATTTTCTTGAGTTCATAAGCACCTATTAAAGATGCTTATAATAAAAGAATAAAAGATAAAAAATCAAAGAAATGTTTGAAGAGGTATTCTGGGGCTTGATCTATTGGTTATTAAAAATGTAATACAGGGCTACATTAACAAGCAGAATGGTTTTGATTCAAGAACCAAAAGGCAGATTCAAGAAATAGGAAAAAAAAAAACTAGAAACAAATCCTAATTATGATAAGTATTTTCTGTATGACAACAGTACCACTGCAAATAACAATAAGCAAACAAACAAAACTCCAATAAACCAAATGAAATCATTAAATAAAAATACAATTGAAAAATCAAAAAAGTTACAAAGATATATAATGAATGCTGCTGTAACAGTGGATTAAATCAACTATGTTCAAATATTATAACCACATTTCAGAAAATTAAAAATGTCAAAAAATAAAATGATAATTTATATAAATAATAATATAATTCCAGATTTCAGAAAAAGAAGAAGTAATCACTAAAGAAGAAAAAAGTCAATATAAAAAGCCCAAACTGTGATACATTAAATCCTTTCATAAGCAAAATTAAGGGGTCAGCAATAAACTCGAAAAGTATTTTCAGAAAAATGACAAAGGGTTATGTCATTAAATAGAGCTCATGCCAACCAGTAAGTTTACCAATAGGAAAAAGGTCCAAGTGCCTGTAAATAAGAGCTCACAGATGAGGAAAATATATGTCACTAATAAATATAATAAAACATGTTACCAACTTAAAATGAGATATCACTTTGTCTCCTGGATTAGGGGGGACAAGGGAAGGTACAACGACATTTCACACATCCTCCATCCCACCTGCCAGCCCAACCCTATACTAGAGGGGTTTGCTCACCCAATCTCCCTTCTGAGACCATAGTCTGAGAATAAAAAAAGATAAAAAAAATCAAAGAAATGCTTGAAGAGGCATTCTGGGGGGCTTGCTTTACTGGTTATTAAAAATGTAATACAGAGCTACAATAACCAGCTACTCTTCAAGTATAGGGAAGAGACAGAGAACAAGTATCATGTTATAAGAGCAGGTTAATTGCTGTGTTAATGTTTTGCTGTAAGCCTAGGTCTGGAGGAACTGTTTTTCTTGATTCCCTCATATTTTGCAGGATTGCAAGGCTACTGGAGATCCCTCTTTGACCCCAGGGCTAGGATGGAGAGAAATAAAACTGAGATAGTTGGAAAGGGAGGATGACTCTCTTATGTCTGTCTGAAATAGCCTCATTTCAGTTGAGTCATTTAGAAGGAAATAGTTGGTCATTTAGAAGGAAAGTAAAGAGGTGTTTTGTATCATGCTATGAGATACATGTGTATGTCAGGTTGTCTAATCTGAAGATATTCTTTTGAGCAGTGGACTAGTAGGACATAAGGGATGGTTAAGGGGTTTGTTATATTAGCAGAACTTGTCCAAAATAGTAATGCAGGATGTAAATGAGAGAATATTGAGATAGTCGCTCTAATACTGACACTGATGACAGTTTTAACTGATACAAGCTTTCTATAAACCATTTAAAGTACCAAGAGTCTTACATTTTAAAAAATATCTTCTTTGACCCCCTAACTACATTTCTTAGCATTACTCATTGACCAAACTTTTGAAAAACACCACTTTGTGACAGGCAAAGAAGATGATAGATACAGCAATTAACAAGGCAGGCCAGGTACTTGTTCTTATAGTATTTTAATTCTAGTGGGGCCGGGAGAGAACAGACAATAGCCATGTACATAAACAAATAAGTAAGATATTATAGAGGCCGGGCGCGGTGGCTCAAGCCTGTAATCCCAGCACTTTGGGAGGCCGAGACGGGCGGATCACGAGGTCAGGAGATCGAGACCATCCTGGCTAACACGGTGAAACCCCGTCTCTACTAAAAAATACAAAAAACAAGCCGGGCGAGGTGGCGGGCGCCTGTAGTCCCAGCTACTCGGGAGGCTGAGGCAGGAGAATGGCGTAAACCCGGGAGGCAGAGCTTGCAGTGAGCCGAGATCCGGCCACTGCACTCCAGCCTGGGTGACAGAGCGAGACTCCATCTCAAAAAAAAAAAAAAAAAAAAAAAAAGATATTATAGAAAGTGATACATAGAGTGAAGAAAATAAATTGGAGTAATATGTTAAAGAGTGACCAGGGAATGTCAGGGAAACTCTCTTTGAAGGGTGATGTATTAGTGAGGGTTCTCCAGAAAAACAACCAGTAGGATGTGTATACATCTCTCTAGATGGATAGACAGATGGATACATAGATGGATAGATAGTTACACACTTAAGTACATACATATATGTATGTGTAGAGAGAGAGAAACAGAGACAGAAAAAGGTTTATTTTAAGAAATAACTCTGGTGGCAGGCGCCTGTAGTCCCAGCTACTCGGAAGGCTGAAGCAGGAGAATAGTATGAACCCAGGAGATAGTGCTTGCAGTGAGCCGAGATCCTGCCACTGCACTCCAGCCTGGGCGACAGAGAGAGACTCTGTCTCAGGAAAAAAAAAAAAAAAAAAAAAAAAGAAAAAAAAAGAAATTGACTCACATGATTGTAGGAGCAGGAAAGTCTGAAATCTGCAGGGCAGACCAGACCAGGAGGCTGGAAACCCAAGGAAGGAGTGACGTTGCACTACCGCATCTGAAATCAGTCTGCAGGCAGAATTTCTTCTTCTTCTTTTTTTTTTTTTTTTTTTTTTTGAGACGGAGTCTCGCTCTGTCGCCCAGGCTGGAGTGCAGTAGCGGGATCTCCACTCACTGCAAGCTCCACCTCCCGGGTTCATGCCATTCTCCTGCCTCAGCCTCCCATGTAGCTGGGACTACAGGCGCCCGCCACCGCACCCGCCAAATTTTGTAATTTTAGTAGAGACAGGGTTTCACCGTGTTAGCCAGGATAGTCTCGATCTCCTGACCTCGTGATCCACCCGTCTCGGCCTCCCAAAGTGCTGGGATTACAGGTGTGAAGAATTTCTTCTTCTTCAGGGACCTCAGTCTTTTCTCTTAAGGTCTTCAACTGTTGGATGAGGCTCACTCACATTATGGAGGATGAGATGCTTTACTCAATGTCTACTGACTAATCACATCTAAAATTTATCTTCGCAGTCATGAAGACCAAGCAAGTTGGTCTTGCTCTTATTTGACCAAGCAAGTGAGCACTGTAGCCTACCCAAGTTGACTCATCAAATTAATTACCACAGGTGATATTTCAGCTGATAATCGAATAACAATATGTAACCAGCCACGTCTGGTCCTGGTGGAAGAGATGCAAAGGTTCTAAAGCAGAAGAGTGTGCACTGGGAGCAAAAAGACCCAGTGTGCTGGGTCCCAGTGATGTGCTGTGACCTGTTCATACTGCCTCTAAAGACCCTCCAAAAAATCAATAAATCCAGGAGTTGGTTTTTTGAAAAGATCAACAAAATTGATAGACCGCTAGCAAGACTAATAAAGAAGAAAAGAGAGAAGAAACAAATAGACGCAATAAAAAATGATAAAGGGGATATCACCACCAACCCCACAGAAATACAAACTACCATCAGAGAATACTATAAACACCTCTACACAAGTAAACTAGAAAACCTAGAAGGAATTGATAATTTCCTGGACACTTACACTCTCCCAAGGCTAAACCAGGAAGAAGTTGAATCCCTGAATAGACCAATAGCAGGCTCTGAAATTGAGGCAATAATTAATAGCCTACCAACCAAAAAAATGCAGGACCAGACGGATTCACAGCCGAATTCTACCAGAGGTATAAGGAGGAGTTGGTACCATTCCTTCTGAAACTATTCCAATCAATAGAAAAAGAGGGAATCCTCCCTAACTCATTTTACGAGGCCAACATCATCCTGATACCAAAGCCTGACAGAGATACAAAAAAAAAGAGAGAATTTTAGACCAATATCCTTGCTGAACATCGATGCAAAACTCCTCATACTGCCTCTAAGAGCTGATTACAAACATCTCTTTTCAATTCCATGGTCAGTGACATCACACTGGTAGCTTGAAATCAGTAAGTATTTATACCAGAGGAGTATGTACACCAGAGTAATCAGCAAATGTTACAAACCAGGACTTTTATTACTCCCACTTTTTAAACATTTACCTGCAAAGTACTGATGGGAAGAGCTCAAGGGGGAGGCATGGGCCTTAGATGGCATGTCTATCAGCTTAGCTCTCAGTCTCAGTGTGATGACTGACATTTTCCAGTCATATTACATACAAGTCAAAATAATTCATATTGTAGTGTACTCTTGAACAGGTTTCATAGGGTGGCAGGATTGCAAGTAGAAAGGCTAATGAGAAGATTACTGAAGCAGTCTAGAGACGAGATGATGGAGACTACACAAGAGTGTGGCAGGCACCAGGAGAGATTAAAAGCTTTGAAGGGCACATTTTGAATGGGGTGCTATAGCTCTTGGATGGAGGAAGCTGCAAGGAGAGAAATTAAGAATGACCCGTGGGTTATTGACCTAAGCAACTGGGCCTACCCATGTTGGGGTTCTTTTATGACATGGGAACACTTGGGAGGGAGAGTTTCAACAGGGAAATGTGGCAGGGGGAGTCAGTTGTTGCTTTGGCCTGATTGAATTTGAGATGCCTGCTAGATTTTGAAATGCCTGAAGCCGTTAAGGAAGAAGTTTTATATGTGAGCTTATATTTGGAACTCAGTGGAAAGGTCAGGACTTGAGATGTAAATTTGGGAATCATCTCTATACAAAGACTAACTTTCCTAAGGAAATAATCAGAAATTCAGACAGACTAATAGGTTAAAATAAAAGGACACAGAAATGTATATGCTATATGGCTGAATAAGGAAGATATATTGAAACAATTAGTCAATAAGCCGTAATTCCACTTGCTGTAGCTAGTGTAATTATGAGTAATTTAAATTTTTTGTCCTTTAGATATTCACCACAACAAATAAGTTATTCTTAAAATTAGAAGAAAACAATCTTATTTTTAAAGAAATATAAAAACATTAAATTTGTTAATGATAACATTGAAATAGCGAAGTAGCTAAAAATTTTATTTGGCCACTGGTTAAACTGTTTCTTTGACTTAAAGAGCTTACAGTTATGTAAGCACACTATTTTTTACTTGCCTTTCCCATTATTAAAATAATACATGTATGTTACAGATAAATTTGAAAAGATAAAAGAATAAAGAGAAATAATTTTTACGTGTTATTGAATATTTAGTTTTCTTGATCCAATTTTATCTACTTTTTTGTGATATGCTCCTATTGTTCTATATCTTATTTACATATTATATCTATGTTTTTATATCTTATAGAAGCTATGTTATTAATCCCTTAAAAGTGCATTTTTATAAGAGGTTAAAAAAGGTTCATGACTTCACATGGTTTTACATCTTGTGATAGTGTTCTGTAATGTTTAGCCTCTATGATACTGCTGCAGTCTAGTGTTTCACTGGAATTTTTCATTTTCACTTCAGTGCCATAAAACTGCAACCTCAAATTTATTGCAATATTTACATATATGACAGCTGTTAAAACTACAGTAGTTGAAACACACTTAGGGAATAGTTACTGAGGCAAATGTGTGTATGCACACACACACACACACACACTTTCATGTAAGTTATTTATTGTAACGTTGAACTTTTATTCCCTCTTGGTGAATAAAAAAAGGACATAAGTGTTGATATTTATGTTATACCATTACCTACTTCCCTTACTTTATTCATGAATTTCTTTATTCATATCAATACTTACTGAAAAGTTTATAAAGAACCTACTATGTGCCAAGCAGTGAGCAAAACACAGCATAGTTGGGGAGACAGACACATAAATGGAAAAACAGTATTGCCATATGGTGAGAACTGTTGAAAGGGTATAATCAACATACTTTGGAATCACACAGGGGAATGGGAGAAGGTGACCCTTGAGCTGGGTGTTAGAGGATGAATGAGCATTTACCAGGCAGAAGAAATAGCATTTGCACCTGCATGGAGCCATGAAAGGAGAAAGAATGATTGAGGCAGGAAATAAAGTTCAAAAATGAGGTTTGGACCAGCTTGTGATGGGTCTTGTGTGCCAAGCTAAGGAATTTGGATTACATATTGCAGGTCATGGAAGTCAACAGAGGTTGCTTTGCATTGGAGACTGTCAGAATCAGTTTGGGCTGGAAAGAACATTCTGCAGCAATGTGAGGAAAGATTAGATTGGAAAGAAAACTGGTTATAGGAGCACTAGGGATAGGTGAGTTCAGTGCAAAAGATAAGGAAGGCTGAAAGCTTTGGCAGTCTCTGAGGATGGGAAGAAAGGAGACAATTTGGCAAAAATGACAATGTTTAATGAAATGATTAAAGCAAGAACAGGATGAAGAAGAAAGAAGATAGGGAATATATTTTTTAAAAGAAGGTTGGGTGTGAAAATTAGAGAGTCTGGAAAGTAATTTGAAGAAGGATTAGAATCAAACAATTTTTTAAAGGGTAAGTAAAATTTGAGGTTGGTCTAAATTGAGACCAATGTGTTTGAAATAATGTTTTAATATTTCCTGGGTTGAGATAGGAGATTAAAAAAAAAAGGGCTAATAAGAGGTCTACTTTCATCTAGACTATGTAGGTGCTCAGAAAGAAAGAGAAATGAGAATTTACTTAGTTTTTTATTTTTAATTTTTTTGGCACATAGCAGGTGTACATATTTATGGGATACATGAAATATTTTGACACAGGCATGCAATGTGAAATAAGGAAATCTTGGAGATGCAGTATTCATCTCCTCAAGCATTTATCCTTTGAGTTACAAACATTCCAAGTACACTTTTTAAGTTATTTTAAAATGTACAAAACGTTATTATTGACTATAATCACCCTGTTGTGCTACCAACTAGTAGGTTTTATTCACGCTTTCTAAGTGTTTTTGGTACCCATTAACCATTCCCACCTCTCCCCTAGTCCTCCACTACGTAAATGGGAATTAAAAGATGATCAGAAGACAGTTGGGAGCAGAGTGAGAATAAGAATCTTCAACTGCCGTCTCACCTTTCAGATCATGAAGAAGTTTTTCACAATGAGCAGAACACTCAACCTGAAAGCAGAATGGATTGAGTCACTGAAGCGTGGCAGTGGAATGGTGCTTGATGTTGGCAAAGGAAACATGTACTTCTAGACTTGACACTTTTCCCTTAGTTTACAGTTTCCAAATAGAAACATCACTTTAAAATAACATGAAGAATATACATGGATGTACTGAACGAAGGATAAAGTCTGTGTTGCAGTCCTGGCCCCATCGACTTCTACAAATATGGCTTTGGACAAATCACCTAACTTTTACTTTTGCGAATTTAAACTCATCATGTATAAAATGGCATTGCTAATATGTTTGCTGCCTACCCCATTGGGTTTTGTGAGGAATAAATGATAATGCTAAGAAAAATGCATTGAGAATTATAAATCACTATTCAAATGCAAGTTATTTATGTGATTATTGTCATTACTATTAATACTTTCACTCAGCTAAAACCTTAGAACCAAAAAAATCTGAGAACTTGCTTACTATTAATAACTGTCTTATTTGATTTAGGGACTCAAGAAAGTATCAGCTCACATGACTGAGTCTCATCAATTCCAAGTTGTGCATTGAGAATCACAATAAAGATCGGGAATATGAGACTTTAGGCATAATTCTTTTTCATCACCATCTGGCTATTTCTACTTCTCCAGTCCTAACTTCTAACCTGATCTTAGTCAGCAGGGCTAAATTGCAAAGTAGAAAATTTCAAGGAAGCCTTCTTCGGGTTCCATACTCTGCTTTTATGCCTTCTACACAAAGAAAGGGAAACATAAAAAAAAAAAGAGTGGACCTCCCATTCATACACAACTTCCTCCCAACAATTTCCTTAGTAGAGCCTGGGAGGTCCTACTTCAACCAACCCTGCTCCCTCCGCTGGCTCTGTGCTGCCTGATGACCTCCATACCATGCTCCCTTGTATCTCAATACTGCTCACAGGTCACCTCATCAGAGACACCTTCCCTGATTACAGCATATGAAATTACAAAACAAGCCTGATCTCATTCCATTGTCCTTGCTCTGCTTCACAAACCTCAATCACTGGCAGATGTAGAATATACTTATCTGTTTCTTATCTGTCCCTGCTCCCATCCATGTAAGCACTGCAAGAATCAGACTTGGTTTACCATTGTAACCCCTGAGTCTGCCACATGGAAAGTATTCAATAAATCATTGTTGAACAAAGGAATGAATGCATCTGTGAATGGATATATTAATTTAAAATGTCCTGGTTCTTAGAAGGATTTTCAAAATTTGAAAATATGAAGTGGTGTGAGGACTATTGCTCAAGGTTAAAAGAAAGGAAAAAGAATGCATCATTCAGGCAATTGATGGACTTTGAAGGAAGAAAGCAGGAGGAGCAGGGCAGGGCAAGTTTGGACAGCACAGCAGGTAAAATCACAGATTCTAATAGGGTGACCAACCCATTGTGGAGGATCTAGACATTTTCCAGCTATAGTACTAAAAATCCCTTATCCTATGCAACTCCTCAGTACCAGGCAAACCAGAACTGTTGGTCGCCCTAAAACTTAGAGTTAAATATTCCCTAAGGATTAGAATTCCTTATGCACATTTATTAGCAGTGAGACCTTGGGCAAGACAAACTGTCTCTGATTATAGTTTATTATTTGTAATTGGGGCTAGAAATACCTGGTTCAAAGGTTTGTAGATATTTCTTTTAAAAGACTCTATATAAAACACTTAACACATTGCCTGGTATGAAATGTGCGCTGGATAAACAGCGAGGTAGTATTATTAAAGTGCTTGGTTGATAATTGGCACTCAATAAATGTCGACTTAAAGAGTAAGGTACATGCTAATTCCTGAGTGTTTTGTGTGACATGGATAATGCCTTTTAATAATAGAATCGCACTATTTCAAAAGGTATAATAAAGAGTCTTCATGATGAAATTTTAATACTGCATTTGCCTTTCTGCTCTCAAAGTATTTATCATAATATCTTCATCTGGAAGAAAAGCATTTTTGTTTTTATAATGTTCATTATTATTTTTTTAAAAAACTATGTAGTGCAGTAAAAAGTAAAAAGTAAGACTTTTATGAACATTTATAAAGTTTTACACGTTCTAAAACATAACATAAATATATTTTATTGCCAGTATCAATAATTTATTCAAAGTCTTTTAAATAAGGCTAGTATAGGCTGGAAATATCATATTTTAGGAAAGCATAATTCTTCTCATCAACAAAAACAAACGTTCCAACTAGTTTTATGAAATAAAAGCCTTTAAAATAGTCACTTGCGGTGGATTTGAAAAAACATTCTCTTGTCTGTTTCTGTTAATGCCCTCATGAGTTTTACTAGTTGCAACTGAAATCACAAAAACCAGGGCTTGATGCTTAACTGGCAAGAAGCCAGGATAATGAAATTAATAACATATGCTGAAGAACCCATTTGTAACAATTTTTTCATTAAAAAAATGAGGCAGCTCAAAGCTACTGACAGGGCTTTCTCCCCCTTCCCCCAACCCTTTATTTTCTTTTGCCTGTAATATGTCTGTATGTTAAAGCTGATAGTTCTTAGTTACTCTCAACAATTCACATGACTCCAAGATTTAAGCTATCCTGTGGCTGATAGGAAGAAAGCTTATTTTGTTGTGGTTTTTGTAAGCCTTTTTTTTAGGTCGCAATATGATTCTCTGTCTTGTCAACCAGCAACACTCCGCAGTTCAGAGCCGAGCCCTGTGGTAGGGACACTTTTGAACACAAGGTCTTGGTTGCTTTGGCTGATCTCACCTGTCAGCAACCTGACATGGAACTCTTCTGCATGTAAGTCTTGAATCACAAAGGCCATGCGCAAAGGTATGTGTATCTGCTTTAGAAAAGAACCCTCTGAAGCCCTCTCTTAGAACTTCTTCACCTTCACTTTATGTACATCTCTAGCAAGACTGGTAACCTCATTTGCAAATGTAATAAATTATGGACAACAAATTAGAAGGAAAGAAGCAAGCAACTGAAAGCAGCAAAAAGAACAACTGAGAGTTAAGCAGGAGTTGGAGAAATGCTGAAATCAGGCATAGGAAAAAATACAGCGCTCTCTGTCATCACTGGGTGAAGAACCTTTATAGACTCTACAGATTTAGGGGGCATCACAGGATTTCAGCAAGTGTGAGGCTCTAAATCACTGGTGTGTCGTGATAGGTGTTCATATAGATAAGCATGAGTCATACGGAAAGGTCAGGTGCCATATTCACTGTTGAAGAACATGGACAAGATTGTCATGCATTTCTTCATAGTTGTTTAAATAAAGGATAGATAGATAGATAGATGGATAGATAAATCTACAGCAACTCATATATTATAAATGTGTTTGTGTGATTCTGCACAGAAGTGCATCGTTATCAGAGTGTTCAGGCTACACACCAATAATGGATCTCTTTGAGCAGTGGGCTAGAGGAAAAACAGAAAAGAAGCTCTCTACTTCATATAGTTCTGTTTTGTTGAAGTTTTCAAAATGAGCATGTTTATTTTCTAACAATAAAAATATTTAAATGTGTTCAAGGAAGGCTAAATCACAGGTGCGTTCTTACCCACGTACACTTTATCAGTCAACCCATAAGCCAACAAGATCTTGAGGCACAGGGTCAATATTCATTCTTCCTACTACACATATATTGAACCTTTGCACTGTACTATACTCCTGCAGGATATCCCTGTTTTATATGCAGAAAGGATAAATCAGATCTCATTCTTTCTTTCAACAAACTAATAAATGAGTAAGAAGCTGAGAGGATAATAAAATGTGATAGGAGCAATGTGGGGAAGTGGGAGGTGGGGGAGAAAGACTTAGAACACGTGACCTTGAAACCCAGACAGGACAGGGTGCAGCCAAGGGGGTGCCGGGGAGCCAGTGGGAGGAAGCAAGGCAAGGGAGCCTCAGAGAATGACGAAAAAGGGCCTGAAGGGCCTTGCCAAAGCCGTGATGGGAAGAAACTGAAGATGAACTGCAGTGATATTAGAATGTTAGAGATGTCAGAGCCATCCCCAAGGTGGGACCTTGCTTGGGGGCCTAGTTTGTTCCATTTAGGATAGATTTAATGAACTCAGATGCCGCAAAAAGCCTTCCATTGTGTATCTCTGTGTTTGTCTCTACCCCTACCCACTCCTCTTCTTTGTGGCCCAACTCTGTCTGCAATTTCAAGACACTGGAGCCCTTGAAGACAACATCAAACTAATGCAAGGTACAGACACATTTAACAATGCAAGTACAGACACATTTAACAACTGCTCTTTTAATAAATAACTTCTTTAGAAAACATTTTAATTTGTAAAGGGTCTACTTTGTAAACTCCACCAAGAACTTTGCACATAGAACACTAAGTATTGGTCTCTTCATCATAAGCTATTCTTTGTCTTTTGAATTCAGGAATAAGCAATGACAAAATTCTGGTAAAGATTCTTTCTAATCAAAGAAGAAAGACACAGCATTTGGTTTAAGGGTCTTAATGTGTGTGTCACTCTATTTCAAAGATATAAAGGACAGCAACAAACTGGTATCAAAGGCATGCCGTCTTCCTGAAGATTCTTCCTACACTCCACTGACTTATATGAGTTTATATGACTGTATTGGGTGGGTGGAGGTGGAGGGAGAAGTGATATTTAGTTGGAAGTTGTCATAATATTGGGTAGTTGACCTGGTCATTATCTCTAATTCAGAGAGGAACATGATGCATTTGAGCTCTGCAGCACAAATTAAAAACAGCATTTCGTAAGTGCTGTTCACTGCAGTGACAAAAGACTACACATTACATTAAAAAGTTCTTTTGGAGGGCATATGAAAGCTTTACTGAGAACACATGGCTGATTTCAGCAAAAAAGTAGGTGTGACAGGAGAAGAAAATCACAGCTGTGTGTGTGAATGTACAGATGGGAACACAGAGAAACTGAAAGACATAAAAGTCAGTGAGTTGTGCATCCAGCATTAGTAAAGGGAGGAAAGGAAAACTGAGAGTGTGATGAATAAAGTAGTGGTGGGCAAACAAGTTAGACATACTGAATGTGACAACATGCAACTGAGAGAAAAGTGTTACAGCAAGCAGGGACATTGGCTGTGTATTACACACAAAATACAAATAGAAAGAGAAATCTGTGGCACAGGCCATGGTGTTTTCAGGCTATAAAACCCCGAATTGCTAAAAGATTTCCATAAGGTCTTCAAAAATAGTAAGACAAAATTAAACACTTACTAAGTTTTAAAGCTGTTGTGAAAGAAAAAGGAAATTTACTGTTGACTTGAACAGAATGCAATAATGATAAGTCTGAGATAAGAAATTGTTATTGACTCTAATCAAGAATTCTGACAAACCAGAATACATCTAAACACTGTAAGATGAGGAAAAAGCACATGTTTTTCTATCACTCTATTAAATAGGACTCTATGTCAACCAGTACAAAACCAATGTAGGAGGAGAGGATATTATAGAAAAGAAACAGCATAAAATATGGCCAAAACCAAGAAAACTTGGGCTACCTGTTAATATTTTTATATTCAATACTAACAAACACAATATGATATGCCAGGCACTCTTCACAGTACTCTAAAAATGTAAAATCATGGAACCCACACAGCAGCCCTATGACAGTTACACTGTGAGTATCATTCCCAGATGAAATGGATGGATAAATAAACTGAAACCCCAAGAGTCTAAGTATCTTTTTCAAAAT